GAACTTCATGGAGGCATCAGAGGCAATAGCTTTGATAGCCCTGGTCTTTGCCTCAATGCCCATTGAAATGTGCCTATAGACAATCTGTTTTTTAATACAAGCGGCCTCTGGAAAGGAGAAATTGCTTTGCCCTTTCAAGATCGAAGTTCCTACCCTGCATGTATCAGGGCAGGTCAGTATCACTGAATTACATGTAGACCCACCAATTAGCGTAACTCTGACAGTGTGCACACATGTACTGGTATACACATAATAACGTACATGTACATTTTGGTAACATTGGTTCGAAATGTCACTATTTACTAATGAATTGAAACAACTAAATTCACCCTCCGAAACTGAGTTTGCAGGTGGTTCGGTTGAAAGGAGGCAGTTCAGTGCCTGCTTATTGCAGGCACCTGTGTATGACCCCCTCAACACAAAAATGTCAAAAGATCTTGCACAAATAATGAGGCCAACTAGAATATCTGATGACATGCATCTACATGTAAATTCTGTGATGTCATCAAAGTGGAATTTGATATCGCCTGATCATTTTGTGTTTGTAACTTATGCCCGGGTCAGCATTTTTGACATTTGGATCAAGCAGAGGTTTGGCTCTGGTTTACAAATATTTGAGGTAAATTTTGTGAAAAGTAAAAATCATACCCCCTTTGGTGTCTGGAAGAAAATCCTGTGAGATGAATTGGCTTTGTGCTGTGTTCTTTGATGCAGCCGATTACTTGGTTTGTTGGCCTTTCTATGGCTTATTTTTTTTTCATGATTGGGAGTGAATGCAGTCTTAATATTTCATTCATTTTGACAATTCAATGTGTCATTCCTAAATACAAATTGTTTTCCCAAATACATGAAATATAGCTCTAAATTTTAAAACCACACGAGTTAAAGAAATACCTAGCCATATTTTGTTATCACATTGCAATGCGGATGTTCTAAATACAACAGAGAAATGGAATGTCAGTTTCTCATTGCGTTTCTCTGCTTATTGTTCAAGTTCTTTAAATATTAAGGAATGCTTTAGATTCAGATAAAATTGTTTTTGTCATTGCATATAACAACGTTTGGGATATTTCACTGTCATGCTATCCCTGTACACATGCATCCTCTGTGAGTATTTATCTAATCCATGTGGATTAGAGAGAATGGTAGAGACATGTACACATATGCAGCTGGACAAATGGCTATCTTTGGGTGCATAAATATTGCCAGCAGCGTCACATTTGGTCTCTAGTGCATTGTGTTTCATGGTTCTGGTAGACATGGGTCCTGAACACCAGTAAACGAGATTTACCAAGTCTGTATTTTGTCTCATTATAAGCTCATCCCAGTAGTTGAGGCACATCTAACTGTTGTCACTGCACTTTCAAGCAAGGCCAACACAAGTTGGAGCTTGATTGGTCTAATCCACACAGCTTCCACAAGACTCCAGACAACCTCCAGACACAACCTAAATAACACACCACCTGTCCTCTGTCAGGAAACGCAACAATCCCCCTGTCCTTAAATGCTGGCTGTAATTGGGTGTATGAAAATCCCAAGTGTAGTGAAGTGTCCTAATTTCCCAGATTATTGCATTTGCTTCTAAGGGAATCCAGCTGGGCATTTACCCAAGCTGGTAGTGGCTGGGTGCAGGTGCAGGGAACCCCCCATTGACAGCTGGCCTCATTTGGAATGCCCACATCTGGCTGTTGTTAGCCCTGGGTTATGTAATCTGTGTAAATCTAGGCATGGCTTGGTGTGGGTGGCAGGGCTGTACTGTGGTCAGAGAGCTTGGACAGAGATGGATGTTGGGGAATTGAGTGACAGGATGCCTTGATTTATGCAGGAACCAAATGGTGGGCGATTTGTGTATGACTGGTGGTTTGAGTTGTCCTGGTCAGGTCACAACAGGGCTGTCAACAGGGCTGTCACCTTGGCTGATGGGGACACACAGTGGCTGAATGCCAGTCACAGCATGCCTGTTGGCAGCACATGTAATACTGTTCTCATTGTATACAGGCTATTGTACTGGTAACAGTGCTGGATAACCACTGTGGCATAATTAGAGTAGCACTCTGGAGAGTCACCTCAATTTTTTGGTTCTCAAACTGAATATTTGGAAACCTGTTCATCAGTTTCAAAACATTTTTGACTTTGTATTTTAAAGGCTATTTAGGCTTAGGTGCAGCCTTTTCCTTGTAAATTATTGAGTGCTATCTGCAGTGAGTCAGTTCAAAAACACATGGCTTGGGAAATGCGTATTCAGCCATGTGGCTCTTGTTATATTGTGCCATGATTAGATGTACAGGATGTGTAGATTTTTCACACAGAACACATTGGGATGAAGGGTTATTCATATTATTATTGTTCTTGCTGACAGAATGTGGATGAAATGAACACAAATATTTTCTGTATAATCTGGGTTCCCAATTTGACCTAATTTTCAGTCAGTGCTGACCAATTTTCAGAATTGTCCCATGTTGAAACACTGGGTTTCACTTGTAGGCCTACATGTATGTGTTCATCAGATGCAAACTTTACTCTAATGAAGTTGATAAACTTTCTTCAGGAGCGGTTACGATTGTTCGAACCCTATTATCTACTTGATGCATCACAGTTGTGTGCATTTACATTGTAAAGGCTTTGATATTTTAAAGTGTAGGCCTAGCGCTCAGTCACACATGCTGACATAATAAAAAACAATCATGTTTTGTATATAATATGTAGAACTGTTGTCTTCAGATGTAAAACATTCCAGAAATTTCATCATTGTTTTCATGAAGAGACAAAAATGCCCACAGTCATGACATTTTTTTTTCAAAAATTACTGAAATCAGTCTGTGGGGCAAAATTCAATTAAACTGCTTTTTGATTTTCATGAAGAGACAAGCTTGTCTTCCTTAGATACAGCATTAGCAATAAAGGGCAAAACCATTGACAAAACTTGTTTTGTAGATTTACAAATTTGACTAAAAAATGTATACAAATGTAACAATTTTGCACCTGGCAAGCACAGTGGCAAAAGTGTATACTGTGCTGGTTGTTTTCACAGAGACAAAAATCGCACAAATTTCTGCCAAAACATACAAAAGTGTTTGTTTACAAAGTAAACAATTCTTATTGATTCTGTAAATATTTGTTTTAGTTTTGTGTCATTTAAGGTTAATCCCCTCTTTCTTTGTTAGCATTGGTCAAGTCAAAGAAATGCTAATTTAAATACTGGGGAATGAGCGTTTTGAAAAAGAGACCAAATAAAAATGTGATTTTTCTCGAAACCTAGATTTTACTCTCTGTTGAGACTTTTGTCTCTTTGTGAAAACGGTGACGATTTGTATGATGTTCAACACTTTGACATGCTGTCTGCAGATTATTTTTCAAGCTTCTTCTTCATTCTCCCTCCTGATGTTGTGAACACCAGAGGTCCAGACATTAAATTTTATAAAAGCTGCACCTGTGTCTCCAGTACAGACTTTGTTTATTTTTGTCCTGGAGAAGAGTTACTTTTTGTTTGTGCACATTTGGCGGCTCACAGGCTGGGGCTCTCAATAAGTGCTATTACCCCCTACTGAGGTTGGGCAGGTTTCGTGGAGTTCCAAGAGTTATTCTCCCAAAGGCTCAAGCTGGAGGAACATGTGGAGGAATATTCAGCGACACATCCCCCTCCTTGTTCCCTTGTGGTGTAGGCATGAAACATTACTGCCTTTTTCTCAGGAAAAATGTGCCAGTGTATGTGGAAGGTGACTGGTAGGGTCTTTCCCCCTTGTGCAGCTTCAGCAATTATTTTGTGTGAGAAATACAACCCACCTGATGTGGAGAAAAATTGTTAACCTGCATACATGTTTATTTATGTTTTATGCTTTTTGACAAAAAAACGTAGCAACTGCTATCAGGTCACTGGGTCAGGTTCACTGGCTTCAATGTGTGCTGACTGTGGAGTTGATTTTCATGTCATTTGTAAACCATTTTTATGGGCTTGGCTGGCCAGTGTATTTTCCAACTTGAATGACTTAATTGCTTAGAAATCAGAAATATATACTTATACACTTCAGAGATAAATTTGTTTTGGACTTGGCAAGTGTTGGCAGAATTGATGGGGCTGTTCTTTCCTTTTATGAGTCAGTGATAAATTGCAACATGTGCAGCTTTATCTCTTTTCATTATATCTTTTCTCTCAGTTCAATAGTTGGTTTATTAAAAAGACCCTGTTACCTGATACTGAATGGTTAAAAGAACCATGAATTTTTCTCAGAATCTTTTTGTGTATGCCTATTCTTCTTCAATGTAGACTGTATGGAATCTTTTGTGAGTTGGGAGAACTGAAAAGTGTACATTTTACACATCCAAAACCGACAAAGCATATGCGGACAAGTGAGGGCGCTTTTAAAGTGAACCTTTTTTCCGTTTCCAAAAACAGGCATTTTCCATTTCGTAAAATTCCGCTTCAGAAATTCAAAGTCCGTTTCATACCTTAGTAAGCATAAAAAAGGAGAGCAAGTTATAAACTATGCATGGAAACCATTTGCCCAACCTTACTCCTCCCCAACAAAAATTAATAAATAAATGAAAGAAAGAAACAAATAGCTTGTTTGGAAATACTCTGCAATATTTCCAACATTTTTGGGGTGATAATTTTCTGCTGTGAAAATTAAGAAAAAAATATTCTGGAAAGTTTTGCAGATACATGTACTGCACATGTATATAACGTCACAGGAAGGCATGAACTGATGGCCTACCGTATCTGGCGCGTGAACCATATCCCTTTGCCAGGTAAACCTGTTTAGTACTGATATTCACAATTTATGATACATGTATATCGTATGGTATATGGATGTTGATCCACTTTAATACTGGATGATGTTCTGTCAATCAAACCTTGTGAACTCAGTTTTGCCATTGTAAAAAGGACACTGAAAGGACAGCGGGCGCTAGTGGTCCACTGAAGTACACATGTACGAAAGCAAGCGCATAAAAACAAATGCAGCATCACCAGTACAGAGGTCTGTTTTGTTACTTTGTCCCAGGTAATCACACTGACTGCCCTCATATGCTCAACGAACATCAGTTACCGCGGCAGTGATTATCTTGCGCTCCCTGCGGCCTGGAAGTTCCGGGTGTTTGTGTTCACATCGGTACTATCTCTCCTCTGTTGCATCGGCCTGCTCTTCTGTCGTGCCACGAATGTAGCGCGATCCCTTCCCATCGACTGGCTCATGCTGGTAAGTGAATTCTTGATGTGTTGGTGGTGGTGGTGTACATGTACTTATACTGTAGCTTAGGTTGGCACTTATAGCAGACTGTGTACCCTGTGTGCCACAGCTGTGAAAATAGCTCAGAAAATTGAATGGAGAATTGAACGGTTACTGCACCTGTAACCGTCCAGCCCCACAATGTCACAGAAGGGCTCCCTCTTGGGCCAAGCCATCTCCCGGGCAGTTTAAGGGCCCGGGCCCCGCTGGTACATTCGCAGGCTTGCGTACACCTGGGTGATGAGGGTGGCACTGCAGACCAAACAGTCACTGGTTCAGAACCCATACGTGCCTTAAGCACAGTGCATATACACCTTATTCAGAGGTGACATGGTCATCTAGAATAGAAAAATTTCATGGGAGAGAGAAAGCTTGAATTTTGATTTTTCAGGCATTTATGTTATTCAGTGTCATTTGAATGTTAGATTTTTCCCCTAACAATTTTTTTAGGGACATTTTAGAGTCAGGTGCGTTTAGTGCTGTCTTAAGTTGTTTTCTTTGAGAGTGAAATTTTGAACACTCAGGCTGAGTTCCGGCGGCTTGTTCCCATATGTTCCCGGACAGTTTGATTTATTATTTGTGGGTCGGCCGCTCGAACGCCGGGAAGAAACAAACAACATGCAACATGGCGGCGTCCATGTACATTATTCGAAAGTTAAGGTTTAGATGGGTTGAATTCTTTTCTTTATAAACAGGAACATTCATTTCTGTGTTTGGGAAAATAATTAATGTTAATGTTAATGTTGCAAAACTTCCCGTTGTCTACATGGTCTATGGCTTTGGAAGCCATCTCTCCACTTTTGCAGCTGTTCAAAAATCACAATTTCACGAGTTTTTCCGTGTGTTCCTGTAAAACCCTGACAAGGAGGTGGTGTGTGATCCTGTTCTGAGAACAGTGTTCTTGAGTCATGTTCCCGCCGTTCGAGCGCGAGAACAAGAAACCCGTGTCAAGAACAGACCGCCCGAACTCGACCTCAGTGAGAAGGTGTTTAGCATTATCTTTAACAGTACAGGAATTACACAAGTCACTGAGGGATAGGTTCATGTTTATGCAGAAAGGCCTCAGGATATCTACACATGCCAATGCGAAGTCTGTAGAGGATGACTTCATACTATCTGCTCATGCCCCAACTGGAGATGGTGAAAGAGGGTTTCATGAGAATCCTTACTTAGGAATATGCCATTATTTCCCGTTAATGATTGTTTGAGGTTAATGTTTTGTTTGAGGTCAGATTTGAGATGGCCTTGAATTTCTGATATTGATTGTGGGATGTGGTAATCATCTTAACTTTTTTTGAGTTGCTGATATAGCAAGTTGGTCAGCTCTTTCATTACCAGGTATTCCACCCTGGCCTGGGATCCATTCAAAAGTTATTTGTCGTATGTGTTATATACATGTACATATAGAGGATGCCGCAAGTTATTTTATTTTCATGTGGCATCTGTGAAATAGTTTGCAAAGTTATACCAATCAGTTTTTACTGATTGAAGTGACCATTACATGACCGAAGTGGTTGAACATCTTCTATCCATTCTAGGGTGATTAAAGTAGCAAATACTTCTGCATTGAAAATACTGATACCATTATTCATTGTAATGCTTTTAGAGTATTTGGGTTCATGGATAGACATGCTGCAACCAGTAGTGTTTTTCTAGGGTCATAGGAGCCATCTGTGTAAATGTGTAAGAAATTATTCCAGTTGGAGTGGATAGTTTCCATGGTAGCATGGTGTTTTCTTTGGTGTTTTCAAGAAGAGTGAAGACACTCAGTAGCCTTGGGGTCGTTCCCCACTGCAGCAACCCTTTTCAACTTCGGTCACTGAGGCTTATGCATTGCACAGGTACCAGCTTGTACCAGGATGTTGCATCTCCCTTGAAAAGCTCAGCAGGTCAATTCCAAGAAGAGAAGCCTGGTGGTCATGATTTCAAAGAGAGGAATGTCAAGTGTGGCAAGGTAACAAGAAACAATGTTCATTCACCAGATGAGTAAGGAAGGCATATCAGAGAGTGTACCTTCAGGAAAATCAGTTCAAGTTAAACACCATCATGCCCTTCCGGATTATCGTTTTCTAAGTAGTTGTTAAGGAAATATTATTAATTTTAATTTAGTGCTGAGAATTCCATTGTGGGTTTTCCCCTCACATGTTTGCAAATTGAAACTCAGGGAGGGCTGTTTTGCAATCCAATAATCCAATAACATACCGGTAGGCAGTGTTACTTTTTATTGCTTGTCAGCGTTTTTAAAGATTTATTTCCCAGACAAAGTAAATTGTTTTAATGTGAAAGATTTCAAATTGCATGTTTTGTGTGCTGGTGTCTTTGGAGGATTCTCCAGAAAAATTCCACCATACCTGGTTCATGTTGCCTTGTAACCTTCACACAACTACTTATGTGCATGTCTGGAATTACGGAAATAGAAGAAAACATACTTCAAATTTCTGGGAAATTTTTGTTGAACATCTTTTGCTGGATTCTGCATTCTTTAGGAAGAAATGCAGTTTTTTCCACCTCCCTTAGATGTCGACCCCTTCTTTATTGGCTGGTATGCCTTTTCCTTCCCTGAGTGTTTCTGTGCAAAGCATTGGTGAAGACAGGCATTCCACAATAGTGCGCCTCCAAGAGTTTGCAATGCGTTGGCCAATCACAGTGTGTGAAATCTGTTAACCCAATGTGTGTTTGGAAAGGGTCAAAAGCTTTCGCATGTTGTGATTGGCTTACTCGTTGCAAAGTCTTGGAGGTGTACTGTTGTGTATTGCCCGTATTGGTAGAAACAAAATTCTGCAGTGTAGAGCAAGACTTATTTTCATGGAGATACAAAGTGGAAAGTTTCTCTCGGCAAATTTTTGTGCTCAGTTAAAATGAACAGGTAACCTGGGCCGAAATTTCATGTGACTGTTGTGCTGAAGAGTTTGCATGAAAGATTTTGCTGTAACCTCAAGTACTTTTTCATGGTGTGGTTGTGTTGACAGTTGTGGTGTATGGAGATTTGATTTCCATTGTTACGTTAACTACTTTTTTTCCTCCAAGGTAAGCATGCCTTTTGCCATGCTAAATGCTTACGGTTTCCATGAAAGGCATGGAGCCTCTGCTAGCATAAAGTCATGCGCTTAGCAGCACCATGAAATTGGGCGAAGTTCCCAAGCAATAAACCCTGGGTCATGCTTTGGTTGGTAACCTGTTTTCTGCTAAGCATGTATGATAGTTTCAATGCTGAGTAGATTCATGGAAGTTCAACAAAACTGGCCCTCTTTTGACTGGGGATGTGAGGATAAGAGTACCAGTAAGCAGAGATCTTACCAAAGATTATGGGCAAGGGCCCGTTTACTTTCAGGCCATACAAAAAAAGAAAAACATTAATATATTGAGGTTTATATTATTGCGTACAGTATGGTGAACCAACCAGTATTATTATGGCATGGGGCACTTTGGGGAAGAGTTGTGTAGTGGCAACACAATATGCTTCATATATGGTTTTAATTTTTTCAATAGGTATATGGTTTTGCTGAGGCCATCAAAAACATACCCTTAGTTGTAATACATGTAACTCTACATGTACATGTATGCCCTCCCACAAGAAGTACAGTTATCCTGTAGTAACATCCTTTCTACAGTAGTTGAATCTAGACAGCACAAACTGTTTGTGCTGGAAGACATGCATGTAAGCCAATGGGCATACAGCCTTTCCAAGGCTACATGTAATCTGCTCTATTACTCTCCAACCTTCAAAAAGTACATGTGGGTACATGGTACGTGCTGCAATGTATGTAATGAGGTTTGGGTTATAGGCTACAGTCCACTAATTCAAGGCCCACTGAAAACAGTGTAAAATCAGCACTGTTCAGGGCCCAATTACATGCACACCAACATCCCTGAGATTTCTGAAGCACAAATGAAATTCTTGTCTGGTCACTAATCTTTCAATATCTTTTCAATTTTTTGTGGGTTAACCAATTACATTTTTAATCATTCCCACAAAACAAAATCACCCCCCAAAAAGTGATTTTTCCGAAGTCTGATTGCGGCCATTTTTCAAGTGATAACCCTCAACATTCTTGGGCACTTAGGACCATTTTTCAACCATAGTTTTTAGCCATTCTGCTCTCATATGAAAGCTCCAAGACCCAGGGAGTTGATCCTGGCATGGATTTTATCTCACCATTTTGGGGGCCAAACAATCTCCTTTTTCAAAAGATACTGTGGGGGGCACTTTTAATGCTAATGAGCTGGCCAGATATTCTCACTTGAATTAGTGGTCTGCACCCTAAAGCAGCTTTCCATGAGCACCAGTTACTGTATGTGACAGTTTTATTATGTTCAGATTACCCGTACCAGTGGGAGCCTTTGAAATGTTTGTTGGTAGCAAATATGCCAGTCCTGTTTACTACATGTTGTTGTGATTGTACAAGCATTGTTCTGGGCATGCGTGCGTAGTTCTGAGCACGTGCAATGCTGTGAAAAAGGACCGTTATGTCCGCTACCACCAGTATTTCAAAGTCTGCCATTAGATTAAAAAATAGAATTGTGGTTTGTCTTCTTCCAGTTAGCCCCAACGTTCTTCTGCTGTTTAACTTGCTCCAGGTGGTGAACGGAGAGCCGTTCTTCCCCCCCCCCCACATGGAGGTTAATTCTGTTTTCATCCTGTGCTGTTTTTTCTGCATTGTTTCCAAAAAACCACTCAACTCTCCCTGAGTAGATTGATTAGAGGACTCCTGCCCCATGTCTCTCCTGTGGCTTCTTGGAAGTCCTGCAAATGGGTGTCTCTCTATCATCAGTGACAGGAATAGAGCCTGAAATTTTACCCCTGATGGCCCACTTCTTCAACCTGTGAATAGGAAATAATTGCGCAAAAACTGTTTGAATTAGCAATTATTTTGCATTCATTTGTTTCTTAAACAAAATCACCTCCAAAAAGGTCCAAGCAAATAATTTCCCAGTATATTAATTTGTGGTACGTGTAACTGAAAATGTCT